TTTTTTTTTCTTGGCGTATCTTACATAAGAACGCATAAAGCCACAACAAAAAAAAAGACACACAGAAATAAACAGACATTAAGTATGGGTGAGAAGCGTCCGCGTGAGATGATGGTGGAGCCGCTCCTGCGGGAGAACCCCGACCGCTATGTCCTCTTCCCAATCAAGCACCACGACATCTGGAAGAAGTACAAGGAGGCGGAGAGCAGCATCTGGACAGTGGAGGAGATTGACCTGGGCAATGACATGACGGATTGGGAGAAGCTGAACGACGGGGAGCGGCACTTCATCAAGCACGTGTTGGCATTTTTTGCCGCAAGTGATGGGATCGTGCTGGAGAACCTGGCACAGCGGTTCATGACGGAGGTGCAGTCACCGGAGGTGCGCTGCTTCTATGGGTTCCAGATCGCCATCGAGAACGTGCACTCTGAGATGTACTCTGTTCTGCTGGACACTTACATCACGGACACAGTCGAAAAGGACCGCTTGTTTCACGCCATCTCAACTATCCCGTGCATTGAGAAGAAAGCTAAGTGGGCAACTAAGTGGATCCGCAGCAGCGAGTGTTTTGCTGAGCGCCTTGTCGCGTTTGCCGCTGTTGAGGGCATCTTCTTCTCCGGCTCGTTCTGCGCGCTGTTCTGGCTCAAGAAGCGTGGCCTCATGCCAGGGCTGACGTTCAGCAATGAACTCATTTCGCGCGACGAGGGCCTGCACACTGACTTTGCATGCCTGCTATACGAAAAACACATTGTCCAGAAGCTTCCGCGTGAGCGTATTCAAGAGATCATCTGTGAGGCGATGGAGATCGAGCGTGAGTTCATCTGCGATGCGATCCCGGTGCGCCTGATTGGGATGAACTCGGACCTGATGTCGACATACATTGAGTTCGTTGCGGACCGGCTGCTCGTGGCGCTCGGAAACGAGCGGTACTACAAGTCGAAGAACCCGTTCGATTTCATGGAGATGATCTCGCTGCAGGGAAAGACGAACTTCTTTGAGAAGAAGGTCGGTGAGTACCAGAAGGCAGGCGTGATGAGCGCGGAAGGGAGCACAAAAATTTTCTCGCTCGGCACGGATTTCTGATAACTGTAACAAACCTTTTTTCTTTGGTTTCTCGTTCTCTTCTTCTTTTCATCCACTGTGGGAGGGAACCATGATAAGAGTCATTTATAAGCAGTAACTTCCGGGGGGGCGGGCCGCAGAGAGGTCATAAACAACAACAAAGAGGCGCTTCCCTTTTTCTTTCCTTTTTAGGACGTTTTTTAAGGGGTGGGCGCTCCATCGTCCCTGTTGCCACTCACCACAGGGACGCGTGTGAATGCCCGGGGCACGGCTCCTTGGGTGGGTGTGTGATGGTGGGAAAGACTCACATTTGGCGTTCACATTCTCGGCTTTCTTTTCTGAGCTTTTTTTTGTTGTTTTTGTTTTTTCTTCTGTTTGCGTTCTGTTATAAGGTGGCCCTTTTGGACACAGCGGTGCGTGATAGACTGTGTGTAGGAGGGAGGAAGGTGGATAGACAGCGAGAAGCGCTCGCACTGACGCATTTTGTAAAGGCGCTGATTGCCGCACCACGGTTCCTGCTACACCTTGCTGCCTGTTTGTGTTGGCCCGTTTTTTTTCTTTTGTGTGTGCTCTACTGCGTGGGGCGCCCCTAACGTGTTGGGTACTCACCGGCGGCCATGTGGGTTCCCCGCCGCCGCCGCCCCCACCCTTTTTGCTGCGTACTGCTCCTGTTCGCATGGATTGGCGTAGTTTTTGCCACTTATTTATCTTTTGTTGTTGTTATTTGTTTGCTTCTCAGGAACCCTTCGTGCATTTCAAGGGATCACTACACCTAGGGATTCTTCAGTTAACTGGTACATAAGTTTACACCTGCTTTGCTTGCGCTCGGCTGAGTTAATCGTGGTTTTGTGTTTGGTGCTCTTCCGCTGCTGCGTGTGTTTGCGTCCGGGATGTCTCTCGGGGGAAATTCACACCCGATGGACCCCACAACGTGGACCACGCGGGTCTTGGTGGCATACGCCGAGCAGCAAAACCTTTCCAATGAGAGGCAGAACGCAACGGTATCCAAGGCTGATCGGGAGAGGCTGGAGGCGATGGTAGTGAAAGACCTGCAAACATTTTACGCCACCAGCGACAGTGTGGGGGAGCCGGTGGCACGAACGGAGGCGCTCGAGACGCGAGCGGCGGTGCTGCTGGAGCGTCGCGTCTCCCCTGACTGCGCAGAATTATTTCGTGAGCATCCAGAGAAGCTGCAGGAGGTTGTTGATGCCGGCCTCGCCCTGTTGCGCGACGCCCTGGCGCATGATAAGTACAAGTCCGGTCGTCTGCCATTGGTGGAGTGGTGGCTGCAGTTTACCGTAGATGAGGTGACGTGTCGCCAGATAGCGTCCCAGGGCACATCGCATGTGTGTGGACGGACAATAATGCGGCACGAGGCGATTGTTTACTGTAGGGAGTGTGCGGTGGATTCGTTGTGTGTGATGTGCGCAGAGTGCTTTCAGAACTCACCTTGCGTGGACCACAATCACCTTGTGCGGTATGGCAGCGGGGGTGGCATTTGTGACTGTGGCGATTCAAGTGCCTGGAATCCCGAGTCCTTCTGTACGCGGCACAGGGGTTTCCAGAATAACAACGACCCCACCACCGTCTTGAGTGCAGTGCAGAAACGATGGTTGGAGGTGGTGCTGCGCGGCCTGGCGCAGTATCATGTCACAATTATGCGCTTGTTTCAGATGGAAGTGCAGAAGCTGGGCGATGACGAGAGGACCAAATGGATGAAGCACTGGGTGGATCGGCTATTGCGACGAACGGCCGCCGTGACACAGCTGCTGGCGAAGAGCGCTGAGAGCTCCCGACGCATATTGTGCCTTAGCTTGATGGGGCCGGCACTTATGCCACGCCCCTTCAAGTCCTGGGCGACTTCCGTGGAGGTGAAGGTAGAGCAGCCCTTGCCGTGTGTGGAAGAGGTGTTTCTTATTGAACTCGAACTTACGAACGCCAAGGATCTCCTCATCTGGAATGATTCGCTCCTTACTCTGCTGGACAGCTGCGTCATCGACCCGTTGTTCCGCGTCCCGTTTGCAGAGCTGCTGCTGAAGTATGCCGAGCGAATCTCCATTCGGCACGAGCTGCACGTTGAGTCACTCATGATTCAAGTTCTAAGCGTGAAGAATGTGGTGGATGCCTTGCTTCTAAATGCGCCGCATCCACACTGGAAGTGTGTGATTGGCCGCGAGACCATCCTCCATCGGCAGTTGTCGGCTCTGCTATACTTCATCTGTCTAGTGTCTAAACGCCACAAGCAACTACCTCTTTCCACCAGCCCCGCCATGTACTGCTCTCACCGAATCACCAACATAATAACCTCGTCGGAGAACACGAAAGCAATAGTGGCTTCGCGCCTGCTGTTCCGTGCGTGGTGCAAGCTGCTGTGTCTTGTCGGTAGTAACAGCAACGTGCATCGCGAGAAGGGAGACTCAACATCGCGCAAATACACTGTCTTGAGGGACCACGCTATGGAGCTGGCGTCTCGGCTTCGGGAAGTCTTCTACCCTGTTGGGAATATGGTGTACAGCATTGGTATGGCGCTCATCTCGGGCAGCGAGCCGATTCCGGCTTGGCTGCAGGAACGCCTGCAGTTACTGCCGCCAACGTGGGATGCGGTGCCAGACCCCCTCATCGACTTTCCGGAGCACCGCCAAGTTCTCGAAGCCCTTGCCCTGCCGCAGGACGCGTCAATGCTGTTGTTCAACGCAAATGGCATCGAGGTGGGTGGAAGACACCGTACTTACTTGAGGGAACTGCTGAGGGAATTCGTGGAGTCCATTAACGCCACCATTGCGAAAAAGCGGGACGACTTTGCAAAGCTGCCGTTTGTCCTTTCTGGGGAGGAAGAGGAGCGTGGGCTTTCGAGTTATGACTTGCTTAACCCACAGACGGGCAACCCGACCTCCTTTATTGTGCCGCATTTGCGCTTCTTTGTTGTGCTTGTAAGGATATGGGCGCGGCTCCACCAAAGGCAAGGAGAGGTGTCGGCGGAATGTGGTGGAAGTAAAGAGCCATTTCACTGCCTCATTTCGGAAGTGCTTGAGGCGACACTGTGGCGAGCAGAGTATTGGCTCGATGAGTGTCTCATGCCTCTTGTTCTTTTGGGCCAGGTGGAGCAGGGTCTTTGGCGCCGCGGCGACTGTGATGTGATGCTGCGGTGTATGTTTTATACGAGTTACGTCACATGGGAGATGGAGGTGGATCTTTACATGATGCAGCTACTCATGTTAGTGATGCCGACAGAGGAGTACGCTATTCAGATGTTGCAGCGGCACGTCATCGCGATGCAGGGTGTGCCAAGTGGTCTGTGTTATCCGTCCTTCCTACGTCTCGTTCTTACCCTCTGCATGGGGGAGTGTGGGGCTACTATTGACAATGAGGAAGACCTGCGGCAGGCGTTGCGTGTGCGGCTTCTGCATGGCATGGCGACCACGGACGAGTTTTCCGTCCGTCTGGCTGAATTGGCGGCGCAGGAGTTTACTCACGTCCTTCCGGGTGCCGACCCGGTCGTGATGCTTCCGAGCATACTGGAAGAGATCGCCGTGCCGCGGCAGCGGGGGAGTGAGCGTGTGTTTCAGGTAAAGGACGCGACGACATTGCGGAACCATCTGAATCTGTATCACCCGCTTCTGCGGGACCAGCACGCGTATGACTTGTATGATATGTACACGCGACTTGCACGACGAGAATTGATGTCACAGGAAGACAGCGAGGAAAAGGGGTCATTGCCCCGGGAGCCACATGTGGCGTTTTCACCGCCCAAATCGAGGTGGATTGACGGTGATGAGGGGCAGCGAGAGGGGGGAGTGAGATGTGACTTGTTCCGCGACAAAGTCTCTCTTTTGCTACAGACACCCGCTGTGCTTTCTGTAGCCATCTATTCGGTTCAAATGTACGTGTACTTCGTGATTGGAAATAGGTCTGAGGAAGTGAGCAATGTTGTCAACGACGGGACGTTGGTTCACGCGGTGTCTGTTTTGTATCTGGCCATGAAAGCCTGCAGAAGGATCAGCCTCTTCGCCCTCTCTAATACCACCACTACCACTACCACCGCATTCGACACGATTGACTGGGATGCCGTCAAGACGTTTCAGCAGCAGTTCATGCCACCATCGGGCTATCTTTCTCAGGAGTTGGCGCTGTTATACCCAGTGAAGGGCATCATGAGCGCTGTAACCCTAAAGGACAAACTGGGCATACCAATCATTCCAGGGGCACGAGCGGACGAGGTATTGCCTCCACCATCATCCACGCCCTCCCCCTCATTGCATGGTGTTACAACAATAGCTGCACTGCATCAGCTCTGCACGCATTTCAGAAATGAGAAGGCGGATGGGTACAGCATTGTCCCAATGGCGGAATTCATCTTGCGCAATGTGGGAGCGCTGTCCTCCTCGTTCGAGGAAGAAGAAGCAGCACAGCGTGAGGCGCGGCGCGAGCAGGAGGATCAGAAAAACCGAAGCCGCAAGGAGAGACAAGCAGCGATGCTACAGCGTCTGAGGAAGAGTAATACAAGGAATATTTCCAGGCTGATAAATGCAGCCGATGAAACGCTCCCCATTGACGTCGGCAGCAATAGCGCATCCACGGCTGGAAAAGCAGTTGCTGATGATGGAGTGCAGAAAAAGACGGAGGCTGATTCTGACCCCTCTACCTCTGTTACTGCCAGTTTGTTATTGCGCCTTATGGATGTTGAGTGCTGCATGTGCCGCAGCCCAACCAAAGAATCACTTTTCCTCTTTGGCAATGTCTCTAGCTCGGATACACTATATCGACTCTCCTTTGATGCGGAAGTGGCACACAAATTGAACGGACATGTCCACATGTGCGGACATGCTGCACACCGAGGCTGTGTTTCAAAGACGTTCGGACGGCTTGCCGGTCTCTGGGAAAGGGTTGCCGACACTATATATGGGCAAACTTCACTGGGTCCGTTGGAATTTAACTGCCCGATGTGCATCATGATCTGCACGACGCTTTGTCCGCTGCCCAAGTTGACGACAAACGCCACAGAGGAGAAGTCATCATCGTTGTTCGAGGCTGTGAACAGAGACATTCAGAAGGAGGCTCTGACGTGCAAGTGGACGAGGGAAGTAGTGCAAAAAATGCAGAAAGCCGTTGCACGTGCTCAGATTGGCCTTTCGCCGTCGTCAACAATGAAAGCGGACGCGTTGTCGTTGAATACGGAGCCACGGGACGGGAACTCCTGCACGTGGGAACTCGCGGGAACACTGCGGGGCATTCGAAGCCACATGCACATTTCCCTAGAGTGGGTCAAGGCGGGTGGTGCAGTGCAGTACAATGAGCTTTTGACGCTGTTTACGCTCATGTCATCGCTTGACCCAAGGCTTCTACAGGAAAATGCCCCCATGTTGTATGAGGAGTTCACTCGAGACGGTGACGGGTTGTGTTTGCTCCTGTTAAGACTGTTGCAGGCTCCAGGAAATGCTGTGACGTTGCTGACTCAGCACACAAACGAGCTCATTCTCACCAGTGATCACGCTGCCCTCGTTCCCCCTAACTCAGGAGAGTATGGTGAGGCTTACAATGGGCTGCTGATGGCTATGTGGAGGGAGCTGAGCTGCCTTACGCTGCTAAAAGTGCTCCTCACGGAAGCGAACCCCGTCCAAGTGGTGCAATGGGAGAATGAAAAACCGATTCTCGCGCCATTGGAGTCGGAAGGCCTCAGCACGTTGAAGGGACGGCAGTGTGCGGTGCTCACAATGTTGTGCTACCTGACGGAGAGGTCCTTTGATTATCTGCAAGGAAATGATCCGGCAGTTTCGCTCTCGTCGATCATACAAAGTCTGGTGTCAACTGAGTCAATGGCAGCGGTGACCCTCCCTGTGGCGAAGCTAATGCGTTGCAAGCCGCTATCAGTGCCATATGAAGGTCCTGTAGCGTGGCGAAATTATATCTTCCATCATATATTCCATCTTGCTGACACGCTTGAAGAAATGGTGCTTAGACGTAGCTCTTCCAATGTGTGCTCTGTCTGTGGTGACAGTGAGGCACGGCTAGTGATGTGCTGCTACTGTGGTCAGTCTCTCTGCGTAAAGTCTGCATTGTCTCCGCCTGAACTCTATGATCACTCACGAACATGCGGCAACGGCAATGGCGTGTACTTTCACCTGCGGGAAAATCTTTTCACTGTGTTGCTGACACTCTCTGATCGCCATCTGAAATATAGAGGACTATACGCCGACGAGTGCGCGCGGGCAAAGGCGTACGAATTCCATGGCCGTAAGGTGAGCCTCAGCGATACGGCGTGTCGGGCGTGGCTTTCATTTTGGATGCGCTCCCGTTGGGGGGTGGAGTCGCTTGTTGTGAGGAGGTTAGTGCGGGGGAACTTGGAGCGCCTTTAGGGAGTTTTTTTTTTTTTTCGTTGATGATGAAAAGAGGGAGAACGCCTTACGTAAAGCGCGGCAATTCAAAAGAATATTCCAATAGCATCTGTGTGTGTGTGTGTGTGACACGCAAAGGCGGCAGATCTTCTTTTTTTCTTCTTGCTTGTGCTGAGATATATGAAAAGAATTGTGGTAGTGCGGCATGAAGCGCGCAATGCACTAACTCCTTCATTCCCCCACTGGCTCTCTTTGTTTTGAAACTCCCCGGTCGGTGGCACAAAGCAAACAGAAGAAAGCTGTCCTTCGTGCCGTGCGTGGAGGACGACTGGCGGCGGCCACGCCACCGCGAGGCAGACGCCAATGTTCTCGCAGCAGCACGCCGCCTTGCGTTTGTTTCTGGCCGCGTGGACGAAGCGTACAGTCTGCTCGAACGACATACGAAACAAGAGGGTGCCTCGCCTGCTGTGCGGCGAGAATGGCAAGAGGCAGCAATGACGCTACTGTCACGATGCAGCAACGCCAGCGCGACACGGTGGGTCTCGAGCGGCCTCTTGCCACTCCCGCCGTCGGCTGCGGTGGGGGCGATGGATAGTCTGGTCTATCACCACTGTATGCTCTACTGGGTGAAGCTCTCGTGCGAGGCGATGCTGCAGCGCGACGGTGTGCTCCTCCCGCTGGCCCTTGATGCCGCACGAGACACGCTGCGCTTTGTCGTGCAAGATATTTGCTGTGTGCGGCTCGCCACGGCTCCACGCTGCCTGCCCACCTGGCGGTTGTTAGACCAGGTGCTGAGTGAGCTTTTGCTCCACCAGCAGAAGCAGAAGCAGGTGGAGACTTGTGGTGATATGGATTTGACCCCCGAAGCGGGTGTGGTGCGGCGCATGCTGCTTTACCTCCGCCACTACATCATCCGATACTTGGAAACGCGGGACCGCCCGTTGGAGGGGCAGTGCGGATTCCTGCACTACCGTGGTGTATTTGATCGTGAATCGGGAGGCGTAAACGGCGGTGGTGTTGCCTCTGGCGAGCGGCATGATGAAGAATATGGGGAATGTGACCCGGCCCTTTCCGCCCAGGACCTGTGTGATGCGTTGCTGCGACTTTGTGGAGGGCGTGACACAACTGGAGGTCATTCTACCGGTGGGGAGTGCGGATCAGATGGTGATGATGGCAGTGGCGGGGGTGCCGCTCTTGTTGACGTGGTGGCGTTGGAGACATTTCTGTACAACTACTTTCTCCAAAGCGCGCCTGCAGCGTTTGATCGTCTTCCTAAGTCACAGGAGTAATGCATTATCGCATTTCCCCTCCTCTTCCTCGTCCTCATCCGTCACAGGGACTGAAATCGGCTTATTCGAGCTGTTCTCATTCTGTGTTTTGGTACACACGCACGCACACGTGCAAGTATGAGGAAGCCACTCGTTCTTCTTTTTTATACGTCTTCCTCTGTGTGTGTGTGTGTGTGTGTGTGTGTGTGCCTGCGTATATGTGTCCTTCAGTGCTTCTTCCCTGCTGCCTTCCCGACTTCCTCCCTCGGCGGTGTTTTTTCGCCCGTGCCACCCCTTAGCAGTAGTGCAGCGCAGTGAGCAGCATCCCTCTCGCCTTCTTGCTACGGGCTTTCCCCGTGTGTCCACACGTGCGCCGCAAATGTTCACCGACGACGCCGCGCATGCGTCGCTCGCCTTCGAGGACGTCCTCCCCGCGGAGCCGCACGCCAACGTGAAGCGGCGTGAGATCTGTCAGCCGTTTCAGCACGGCAGGTGTCGCCTCGGCGCGGCGTGTCCCGAGCGGCACGTCATCTCGCAGTTTAAGACGATGCGGCTGGAGGTGTGCAAGCACTGGCTCCGCGGCGCTTGCGTCAACGGGGAGAACTGCCTGTATCTGCACGAGTACGACGACCGCTACGTGCCGGCGTGCGCCTTCTACCAGCGCCTCGGTGAGTGCACGAACGCGGAGTGCCCGTTCCAGCACGTTGTGCAGGCAGAGAGGCAGCCGGAGTGTGCCGCGTACCGCCGTGGCTTCTGCCCGCTCGGCCCGCAGTGCCACCTGCGCCACGTGCAGCGTCAGCCGTGCCCGTTTTACCTCGCCGGCTTCTGCCCACTCGGGCCCAAGTGTCTGCTGGGGCACCCGGTGCAGGAACTGTACAACCGCAACGCGGTGTCGGAGCGGCTGCGGCAGCGCATGCTCGTTGAGCGCGCCGATGACACGTCGTTCAACAAGAACGCGACGTGCTACCGCTGCTTCGACCCCGGGCACCTCGCACCCAATTGCCCGGGCGTACAGAACGGCGTCCTGCGGCGGATGTTGATGGCGCTGCAGGAGCCGGGCGAGCAGCTGTACTTCCACAGCGACGGACGGTCGATGCGCAAGTGCTGCTTCTTCTGTGGCGATGAAGGCCACGAGGTGCGGGACTGCCCGAAGAAGCCGAAGAGCCATCAGTGGCACGGCCACAGACGGGGAGAGGGTGCGGGGCGGTGAGCAGCGACACGTGGTCGCGCGCCTTTCTCTCTCTCTCTCTACAATATATATACCACCCACTATCTCGTGTTAAAGACTACACACACACAGCCACACATGCATACATGAGTGTGACGCGTTTCACCTCATTGTGGTGTCTGGTTGTTGGTGTTGTTGTTGCTTTCTTTTATTTTCTCTGGTGGTGACCGGCGCTCTCTTCGAGTGTTCCTCTTCTTCGCCTTTTACTGTTCTGCGTGTTTTAGTTCTTGGGTGTGGAAGCCGTCCTGGAATGTGGCCGGGGCAGCCGCCGGGGCGTCCCATCTCCGCGGGGGCGCACGGGACACTGTGGTTGCGCCTACAGAGCAGAAGTCGCCCTGAGAAGAAGATTTGTAGTGGAACTCATCTTGTCCTCAGTGACGCCACCCCAGAGGGGGAGGGGGGGAGACGCTGCGTGGAACGGGTGGAGAGAGCCGCGCTGTAGCAGCAAGCGTTGTTTGTTGCACGGGCGTCAGCGACTTTTGTGAGGAGTTAGCCGGCATGCCGCTGACATCGTACCGCTGTGTGGAGAGGTGCTGCACGCCTGGCTCTCTCGATTCCGATGAAGTCTTCCGATACCTCCTCACACTTTGTGTGTTGCTGAGCAGTGGGTCTTGACTGCGCGATGTCCTCCGCTGGCGGAAGAGCGATGGTGTGGCGACAGACACTTGGAAGTGCGACAGAGACGATTATGACGCTGGAAGCGGGCGCTGCGGCTGCCATTTCGTGTAGATTTTCAGTTAAAGCTGCTCTCCGTTATGTGGTGTGCCCTTTTTCTTGGCTCTAGCTGCCGCTTTTTTGGTCTTGGTGAGTACGGTAGGTGGACTCACAGAGTGTGTACCTGATATGCTCTGCTGTGCTAGCCGGGCGGGACGAGAAGGGAAGAGAAATGTGCATGCATTTTTATTCGGCTGTTATCATTGTTGTTGTTGTTGTTGTTGTTGTTTTTATTGGAGATGGTTGTGGCATCATCTGTTGGGGAAGGCGTCTTGGTTTCTAACCTGTATCTAACTTTCCTTTTCCCTCTTTGATTTTTCTCCTTCTCTGTGATTCCCTTCTTTCAGGCTCGTCGTGTACTGTGATGAGACGCTCTACTGCCTGTTGCCGACGGCTTGTGCGGCGTTGCTGCCACGGCAATGGCCCGGTAGCGCAGCAGCAGCAGCAGGCGTCGGCCGTAAACCCGCTGCTCGGTGCCGCGACGGAGACCGGTCCGCTCGCGCGACAATTACTAGAGAGACATCGACAACGCCATACGGCGCAGTTGAGCATGACAGTGAGCCAGCAGCAGCAGAAGCAACGACAACTGCAAAAGCCGCAGGAACAATCCGCAGGTGCGGTGGGAGTGAGGCCAAATAACAGCAAGCCGGCGCCAGATGCCGTTGAATCTTATGGCAAGGCGGCTCTTGTGGCGAACCTAGCGCATGTCGTGGACGTGAGCGCGGTCGGTACTCGCGACCTGATGCAGGCCACTGAGAAGGAATGGGATGCATTAACGGCGCAGAGTAGGCTCTCAGCGGCCCTCGCAGGTGCGAACAGCAAGCGTGCTGCCCGTATGGTGATGCGACACGCGCGTTCCGCCTCTGCGGCTCGGTTGGCCAAGTCGCCTGGAGACGTGCCGACGCCCTATGAAGTACTGCTGCAGCGGTACGCCACCGTTGTGCCGACGAGACGTGCAAATCCTGCAACATCGGAGGCTACCTGCAGCTGGCGGGTGAATATGCCTGCCGTCCTGAAGCAGAAGGGCACTCTGCGCGGTGTGCTTGCGCGCCGGGAGCAGCTCGAGCGCCACCGCGAGTGGCAGCTGGTGAAAGACGTTCAGTTTCCAGCGTTTTCTGCTGCTTCTGGCCATGGCCCGATGGCGTGTGGAAACAACGTGAGGGCGCCGAGTCATGTCACCCACAGCACTCTTGCCGGTAGCAGCAGCAGCAGCAACAGCAGTGGCATCGGTGGTCCCTCCTCGCCTGTCTTTCGTCGGTACTGTCTTGAATTTGGCAGCTGCACGTTGAGGCAGGCGGGGTTTCTGACAGACCCGATGACGTACTACGTGCTGAGCAACCTGCACTTGACGGGTGATGAGTCGTTGCTTGAGGTCCGCCAGAAGGCGGAGGCGCTGAGCCACCGCTACAAATGTGCGCATCTTCCGTGATAACGCCAAGACAACTTCTTCCGGTCCCATGTCGCACCCTTCTCTTTTTTTTGTTTTGCCCTTCATTATGAATCAATTTGTGGTGAAACAGAATTAGGCAAGTGCGCTGTGGTGGTGGAGGCGGCATCAACGATGGAAGAACCTCATCATATACACACATAGATAGAGAGAGAGAGAGAGAGAGAGGGGTACTCCCGTTCACGAAGGAGGAGGTGCTATCGAATTTTAGAACAGCACATGCGGCAGTGCCAATGCTGCTGCTTCTGGTCGTGGTGGTGGTAGTAGTGTGTTAGTAGTAATGGTAATGATGATGATGATAATGATGATAGAAACTGCTGTTTGATTGTAGTCATTCTTCGTCAGAAGGCCTCATCTTTACTTACTATTATTTCGACTACTTCCCTACTCCTCCTGGTTGGCTCTTTTATTTTCACCTCGCTTTTCTTTTCTGCGTACTGGATTTATGCGCGGCTCGGGTCTGTTGATTCTGTCTGCCTCATTTAACTGAACTGGGGGGTGCCAGCTTTTTTTCTTGACGTCTTTTGTTTTCGCTTCATTCTATATTTTCCTCTTTGCATGTTCCGTCTGGTTTGTGAAAGAGCCGGATCCCCCTCACACCGCGTCCAAAAGGCCCCTGCTGACAAGCTCACTAGAATCCCCTACTCGCGCTGCATTCGATACTAGACGCACGTCGTGGGCATATTCCGTGTACGCCTTCCCCCCTCCCCCTGCTGCGGGTCAGTTCTGCTTGGGTGTTGGGGCTTCCTGTGAAATTGGCGGCGCCCAACAGTTCGTCGATTCACTACACGTCGCTTACCGCCTAGGCTGGTATATTCTCTTTAGAAGGTGACTGTTTGTATTTGCACGTCAATAGCGGAGGACAAAACAAAATGGCTGCTGCAGCGGCGGGTCGTGCAAATTTGGATGGTTTTGATTCCCCATTGCTAGGTCACCGGCAACAGCAGAGGGAGTTTGATGACATACGCTGCTCCATCGACCGTATGGAGGCACTGCTGTGCCATGGCCAGACTCTGCTCTACGGCGATGTGGAGCAGTCTGAGAATCGGTTGGCTTCCACCATGCGGATGCCGAACACAAGAATGAGTGCTAATGATTCGGCCGTTGGCGGCGGAAATGCACGCAAACGTGCTGCATCGGCCAGATGTGTGCGCAGTGGAGGAGATAAAACCCCCAGGCAGAGACCGAGTATGGCCGCTCTTGCCGCAACCAGCGACAAGGTCAAGTTGACCCCTCCCAANATAAAACCCCCAGGCAGAGACCGAGTATGGCCGCTCTTGCCGCAACCAGCGACAAGGTCAAGTTGACCCCTCCCAACGCACCGCCGCTCGCGCGCCCGCGTCGTGGAATGCTAAAGGAGCAGGAGAAGCGTATGCTTGAGGAGGCGGATGAGTGGGAAGACGTCACCGTTGCGGAGCTGCGGTGTCGCATCCGTGAGGAGTTGGCGGATTACCGCCGCAAGGGCCCGGTGTCGTTTAGGCGATGGCCCAAGGAGACACCTTCGCAGGCGCACCCTTCAGAACACCAGGTGAAGCGTACTGGATTGGCGACGGCAAGAATCTAGAGCGAGAGAATGATTGTTTTTTTTTCCGTTCTTAGGGAGAGGGGGGGGGAGCAAAAGAGCAAAAAGGGTGTGCACCACTGATTCCAGGTTCTTGTGGTTCCAAATTTTGGCGTTTCTTGTTGCATGTTTTCTTGCATTCAGTATGCCAATGATGTGGCCGTCACGCAGGTGCCCCTCCCGTCCTCTGTATCTCCTCCTTTTTCCCCCTCTGCTTACGGATCATACAACAGATATCTATATATATATATA